GAAAATATATAATAATTTAACGAATAAGAAAATAAAAAGAAAAGAATAAAAAGAATAAATTACACTAAATATGAAATAAACAATTAAATATGAATGAAAATAAAAAAAAGAACAAAAATGATAAAAAAGATTAATGAATTAAAATAATTGTAATATTATGAGATAATTAATATTTTGAATAAATAAAAAAGATTAACTTATACTATTATGTTACTACATTATAAGTAATGAATGGTTAGTCATAAAAGATAAGTAATAAAAAATAATGAAAATAATCAAATTGAAATAAAACAATAAGAAAGATAAATGATATAGAAATAAAGAAAATAAGAATTAAAAAGATAGAAACCAAAATTAATCTATAATAACCTTCAAACAAAAATCATTTATAAAATACATCCTTGTAATTTTCCTTTTTATTTTTATTCTTCTTTTTTCTTTTTTATTTCTTCTTTATCTTTATTTATTCTTTTTATACTCTCTACTTTTATTACCTCTTATTTTTATATATCCTTTTCTTCTTCTTTATTATTTACCTCCTTTATCATTTATTCTTTCTTCTTTTATCTTCTTTTTTATTATTACTTCTTCTTATTTTACTTCTTATTTACTTTATCTTTTTCCTTTTTATTTCTTTCTTATTTTCTTATTTTTGATTTCTTTACATATTGAAATATAAGAGATATTGAAAATGAATATGAATGGAAACTGGATGAAATTGTATAATCAATCTTCTATGAGAATATTAAAATTAATTTTATTGTTTTATATAATTTCCATCAAAAATAAGAATGGTCCATCTATATTATTAATTTATTTATTGTTCAAATTTAATGAAATGTATGATAATAATTCAAAATTAATTAAAGTATGTAAGTCTTTTATTAATTTACTTTCAATTTTAAATAAATGATATGATTTTATCATATACAATATGTTTGTTTATTATTATATTTTGTTTTCTTTCTAATTAATTAAAATTATTCATTGAATTTCGTATATTTCTATTATTTATTAATGTAGTATTTATATGTTTTAATATTTTAAATTAGTGTAGTATTTCTATTATTAAAATATATCATTTGATCATTATCATTATTTTATATTTAATGATCATTGTACATTTCAAGATGCATATTTATTATTTCTTTATATTTAGGGAGATGTTAAATTAATTTATAATAAATAAATATAATGAATAGAGAATAAATGAAGAATAAAATAAGAGAGAATAATTTCAATTTATTTTTCTTTAAAATTGAATGAGTAAATTCCAGTGATGATAGAAATAATTGATATCTTCTTTCTATTCTTTATTTATTTATTAAAACTCTTGTTTCATTTCTTATTTTACCTTATATTTAATATAAATGATAAATTAAAACATAATGATTAATAATTGATATGACAAAGTATGTAATAAGAAGATAATTCTGCAATTTATAATTATTTTTGATTTCTATAGTTTTCTCCTTAAAAAAAATATGACAATTTATTAAATTGAAACGAGTGAATATACTTCTACTAGTATTATCATTGTTTCCTTTACTTATTAATGTTTCTCTATATTTATTAAAAGATCTTCGTATAATAATTTAATATGAGATAATGGTAAAAGATATATTATTTATAAACATATATTTGACTTAATGAAATACTATGGATATCATAGATGTGAATATAAAGATACAGAAGTACTTCATGTTCTTTTTAATTTATACTAATGACTTCCTTCTAATCTTATCTGTCCTTTCTCAGCTACACTTTTCAATTTCTATTCTTTCTTATTTTATTTTTATTTTTATTTCTTCTTTTCTTCTTTCTTTTATATCTATTTTTTTTTATTCTATGTTGAGTATTTCTTATCTTTTACTTTTTATTATTTTCTTATTTCTCTTATTTATTTATTTTCTTGCTTTTCTATATTTTTCTTTATTTCAAAATAAGTTAATTTAATACTTTATTTGAACTAAAACTAATCCCGTTAGTAGTAATAGTAATAATAGTAATAATTTGATTATTCTTTAATCTTTTCGTATAAATATAATTTCTTTATCCTATTTTTCCTCTTAAATTATCCCTTAATAACATATTGAAATACTATTTATTTTATTTATTGTTTTATTTAAATTGAAATATACTTTTATAAAACCACTTCATGATCAGTCTTTTTGTTTAGTAGAGAGTGAATGAAGTATTTTCATTTGATTATTATAATTTAAAATTATTCAAGTTCTCCTTTTTCTTATTTTTTTATTTTTTATTTATTTTCTTCTTTTTTTATCTTTATATTCTTTCTTTACTTTGATTACTCTTTCTTTTCTTTTTAAAATTTACCCTTCATTTTATTTGAAAAACTATTTAATTCGTCTTTATTTCAATTTACTTTATTTCTTTTGAATTAATCTATGTTGATGATTTTTCATTCACTCACTTCTCTTTTCGTTGTTTTCTTATTCTTACTTATTTCTTTATTTTTTATTTCTTTTTCTTATTATCATTTTTCATTTTCTTCTTCTTTTTCTTCTTTTATTTTATCTTCTTTTATTTTATCTTCTTTTATTTTATTTATCTTTTTTTCTTTTATTTTTTATTCTTTATTTTTGTTTATGATTTGATTATCTTTTTATCTTTTATCTCTTTCTTCTTTCTTTTTATATTTTCAAATACTTGTATTTATTCTTTTATTTCCTTTTATTTAACTTATACTTATTATATTTTATATGTTTTCTTAATTGGATTTATTGTGCTTTTCCTATTCTTAATTTATCATTATTTGAATATATTTATTTTATACTAAGTGTTATTCTTATTTTATTATTTCTTGTTGTATTTGGAGTTCTGTTATTTTAAATTTTATTTATATTGTTTGTTGTTGATGTATTAAAGAAAATAATATCAATATTTTCTTTATTCTTTTTATTTATGTTTTATTTTATACTATTTATCTTTCAAATATATTGATATGTTCATATTATTGTTGAACTATTTACTTATTATTTCTATTTCTTCTTTTCTTATTTCAATTCTTATTATTATACATTACTTTTTATTTATATTTATTATTTATTACTGCTATTTGTTAATGATTATTTCTGTCTTTTACTATCATTTTTATCTTATACTATCTCTTCTTCTTATTTTTTGTTATTTTTATTTCTTTATTTGAAATATTCTTTAATCTTTCCCTATGTTTATTAAATGATCATCCATCATTATTTCTTTATGTTTTAATGTATTTGTTATATTGAATTTTTCTGATTATAATAGACCTGTTTATAGTGAACTACTTCTTGTTTATTACTCCTATCAGAGTGTTGCTTGTGATTGTATTCTCACTTGTGCTTTCTGAACTACTCATTTTATTTTCTATTCTTTCTTATTTCTTTCCTTTTTATTTTTATCCTTATTTTCTTATGTTTATTCTTTCTTATAAATTTTACTATTTGTTAAATCTATACCACCTGTTAATTTGATATTTCTCTTATTTATCTCTGTTTTTTTTTAATTTATTAAATTTATAGTATTTCTATTCTCTTTGGTATTATCTTTATTTATTTTATTCTTTATCTTATTCCCTATGTTTATTAAACTATCTTCCTTTTATATTTCTTTATGTTTTAATACTAAAACTTATCCTATTTAATTTCTTAATTATTGTTCATGTTTCTTATATTAATATATTCTAATGTTCATGGTGGTATTTATATTAAATGTTTCATGTTCAATTTATTCTTTATAAATTGATGGATGTAATTCTTATTTGAATAAAATGAAATAAAAATTTCTTGTTCTTTTGATTTTTCTTTTTTCTTATTTTCTTCTAATTTTTTATTGTTGATTTCATTTGAAATAAAAAAGAAGAAATAAAGAAAAAGAAGGAAAAATAATAAAAGAAGTTGATGAAAAAATAAAAGAAGTTGATAAATAAAAAGAAATAAAATAAGAAGAAGTCTTTATTAAAATTATTTTATACTATCATTCATTGTTTTTATTTATTTTATTGTTTCATTTATTTATTAAATTTCTTCCTTCTTTTCTTATATTTTATCTTATACTATCTTTTTATTTCTTAATCTTATTTCTTATGTTATTCTTATGTGTTAATTTCTTATTTCTTCTTTTTTATCATTTTTCTATTTCTCTTTGTGTTTATATGACTTTTTATTATTTTATTTCATCTAAAATTATTTCTATCAGTATTATTATTATTTCTTTCTTTATTGTTCACCCTTATCTTTCTTATTTCTTCTTTCTTTTATATTTCTTTCTTTTTTATTCTTATTTCTTTTATTGTTTATTTCTTTTTTATACTAATGTGTTTCCTAGTAATTATAGTATTATACAAGTATTT